TCATATGACTTGTTTATTGCGTTATGATTGGTTTAGGAGTTTCGCACATGACCTCGCTATGAGGTTATGGGTTTTGAGCATGTGATCACTTTCGTCATATGACTAGTTTGTTATGATTTAGTTTCGCACATGTAACCACTCTAGGTCACATGACTAAAGGCAGGAAGAACACTATATAAGGAGGCCGATGCGGCGGAGGAAGATAGGTTCTTCACGCTTTGTTCTAAGTACTTTTCCTCGTCCTTGCCGTCGCTTCGCCCCGTGCGTTTCTTTCGCCCTCATGGCGGGCCTTGATGCCTTTGATTCTGGGGGAGATATCTGAGTTCGCTCAGTAGTTCCTGGGGTCTTTGTTGTTGAGGTCTGTTAGGCGTTGCGTGGTGGATAACTTGTTTGCGTCTCGTTTCGTTGGGCTGGTTATCTCACGATACTAACACTTCAAGCACTCATCACTGTCGCATACGAGCCCCTTTCGGTAAAATGTCTACGGCTTCTTGTCTATCGTCTACTCGCAGGTTTTGCGTTCGATTGGGGGGATTAAACATTGTGTTTGGGAGGATCACCCGTGTCGTTCTTTGGGCCAGCTCATATCTTTTGTTGGGTTTTAACGGAGTCCTTAGTTCTCGCGATACAAAACGCCCTTGGGTTAGACTGATGACCTTCTCAAATATCAACACGTCGTACCGGCCGCATCAACCCACTGGGGAGGGGGCCTCGCCGGCCCCCCCCCTCCTCGTTACTACATGTTTCTACGGTCGGGATCCTGCAATGTTGTTTATCGCCGCTCCCTTTGAGTTTTTGTCCTTGTGGCATTTCCGGCGATTCAGTCAGGCGTCTCCTCCTCGCACCCGTGGGGATGGCTTTGACCCTGAAAAACCTTACCCCCTGGTGTGGTGATTGTTGCTACCTGGGGTGGTGTGGGACGATTGGCTGCCAGACACTCGCATTGTCTGTGCATCTGGGTGGTTCGGTTGTGGTCTGTGGTTGGCGGCTTCACCTATTGCAAGTGGGGCCTACCTTCTGTTTGTCTTCTTCTGTTCGTTCCCCCTCCCCCTTCTTGTCGCGTCAGTTGGGGATGCCTCTTGCCCGTTGTTCGGTCCGTGCCTGTTGCCGGACCTGTGGGGCTGGCTTTGGCTGGCTCTGCTTACTCTTTCCCGACTCGGTTGGATTTCGGTTCGACTGGGTTGGATGGTGTGGCTGATGCCCGTGCCTTTGGGTGTTGGTGCTGCCTCCTTTGCGGCTCCCGGCTGTGGTTGGTGGGCTCCCCTCGGCTATACGGTGCTGGGAGTTGGGACTCCGTTCGTGTGGCCAAGATCAATGGCTGCCTGGCGGGGCCGGGTATAAGCTGTCCTGTGGCCGTCGGATGGTTGATCTGTCTGAGGGGCTGGGGGGGCTGGATGGGCTCTGTGGCATCTGGTGTGTGGGGCTTGGGGGGGGCTGATTGGGGGGGGAGAGGCACCTGCGAGTACCGGTCGGATATGCGTCAGGTTGGGTGATGTCTAATTAAGTGTTTCCGGACCAGTTTGGGCTGCTGGGCGAAGCTGCTGAGTGCTGTAAAGCTCCCCGGCGGACCGCTGGGCTGATGGCCACCTGTGCGGATAGTGGGTTTCGACCACCTGGTTGGACTTGTTTGGGTACTGCGTGCTGGGTGTTGTGGAAGTTTGCTTGGTTTCTTTGGTTTAGCAATGGGCATGGCTGGCAGGGGCAAGGCACCACGGGTGGGAGATAGGCCCCACTGACTATTTCGGTCTGTCACCACCTCTATGTATTTCTTTTGTTTATGAGTTTGTTTTGGAGGACAGGCAGCGGGTACAGGTCCTCCTCACCATTACGCTCCTCGGAGGCACTTGGCAAAGTGGGTTTATAGGGTCGATGGCCTGGCATGCGGATGCGAGAGGTGGACATGTTGGTTATCTCCTCTCTGCCATTGTGTCGCCTGTAGTTTATATTTGTTTTGATTTGTTGTTGGTTTTCTACTATGGTGGAGGTGTTGCGGGACGGTGTTTAGACCGAGTGGTAGTGGTTTTGATTTTGTTGGATGAGGAACCTGATTGGGTCGGTCTCTTGCTCAGCTTCGGCTACGCTTGGTGCTGGTTGGCTTCATACCAGAGGGGCTACGGACTTGGACCGGGGAGGGTGCTGGGTTGTTTGATGGTCTTGTAATTAGTTTCCGTACGGGCATGACTCGGAGATGGCAGGTACGGGACCGTAGACTTAGTTAGCCTAGGATTAGTGGTATACCGGTTAGCGGTATCCCTGTGCCGGCGGGGGCTCGTCATAGGCCAGTGTTGGCGGAACGAGTTTAAATAAAATTAGATTGACTTCTAAGTACTTTTCCTACTTATTACTTTAACGAATATAAAATACCTTTACGATCTTTATCTTTATTGCAACGTTATCGTTACGCCAAGGAACGACTCTTACGAAGAAGAGTTAGAGAAAGCTTATGATAGGCGATCCTGATAGAAGACAAAGGTCTTGTACTATTGGTAACGTAGGCAGAGGCCTAGAGCTATCGTAAGACAAAGAGAAGAAGAAGACGGGAAGAGAAATATCGTCCCCCATCGCCAAGCACTAACTATCCAAAGAGGGATCGTTACAATGGGAGGGAACTGGTGACACCGATGGAAAAGACGAAGTGCCGGAAATGCGACAAGAATCACAACGGGGAGTGTTTATTGGATGTGGGGCTGAAGAAAGGAAGGTTTTTCTTCGTGGAAGGAAATAAGGCGAGGTGCGACGTCTGCTCGGGAGAGTTCAACGGTGGAAGTAATAAGAGACCTGACGGATCAGAACTAAGGGTGCACCTGGGAAGACAAAACGAATGCAGCATAAGGGTAGCGGAGGAGTTTTGGAGAAGAACATGGGAAACATGGAATTGGATAGCTGTCACGAACGTGGCTTAGTGAGGAAAGGGTTTTCACGTGACACATGGTTATGAGTCACAGGTATGTTATTGTTTCACGCATATAACCTATTCGGGTTGTATGATTAGTTATGTGTGGAATTTGTGACGCTTTCACACATGGTTCAAGTATGAGTCATGGGACATGCGCTTGACGAGTATGCCTTACGAGTATGCCTCACGGACAAGCCTTGCGCATATGATTTATGTTTCGCACATGACCTCATTATGATGTCATGGGTTTCGTGCATATGACTCAGTTGAGTCATATGACTTGTTTATTACGTTATGATTGGTTTATGAGTTTTGCACATGACCTCGCTATAAGGTCATGGGTTTCGAGCATGTGATCACTTTGGTCACATGACTAGTTTGTTTTGAATTGGTTTCGCACATGTGACCACTTTAGGTCACATGATTAAAAGCGGGAAGAACACTATATAAGGAGGCCGATGCGGTCGAGGAAGATAGGTTCTTCACGCTTTGTTCTAAGTACTTTTCCTATATATTACTTTAACGAATATAAAACACCTTTACGATCTTTATCCTTATTTGCACCCTTATCATTACGCCGAGAAGCACTCATTACGAAGACGAGTTAGAGAAAGCTTACGATAAGTGTTTCCGATAGAAGACAAAGGTCTTGTACTATCGGTAACATAGGCAGAGGCCTAGAGCTATCGTAAGACAAGGAAAGAAAGGGAAAGAAGAGGTAAGTATCGTTCCCCGTCGCCAAGAACTAACTATCTGAAAAGGGATCGTTACAATAGCGGAAGAAAAAAGGCACCAGATTGTATTGAGATGGATGGAGACTTGCTAGAAGGCAAAAAGGGGAAATAGGGAATTTGCCTGCGTGTATTGTGGGAAATTGTATAAGAATGTGAGGTCGAGACAGAAACATTGGAGAGGAGTGAGAGAATATAGACTGAAGTTGGCGGAATATGTATGGAAAGAAATTGGATTAAAGGGAAGAGGGGGAATGTACTGCGGCAGGTCCGGAGTTTGAGAAAGAATTTTGTTTTGTTTTGTTTTGTTTTGTTTTATTTTTGGTTGTTTTGGTAGTTGATTTTTGGTGTTGGGTTGGCTTACCCCACGGAAAGTAAAGCCTTGGGATAGAAGGCCTGATGGATTGCTTCCCGCTAGTTGTTAGTGAATTTATATATTTATATGGTATGCCCCCAATGGTCCCCCTCTCCTAAACTACAGAAAAACAAGGTGGCTTAAATACACAAAATGATACATGCCACGTAAACGATAAACAAAACTTTTTAGTGGGTGACGAAATGACCCGCATGACTGCTAAACTACCCTGCCCTATCCCACTAGGTCACACCGGCACCCAAGCATGGAATCTTGGCGCCAAGGCATCCGAATATTTTATGAATGGTCAAGTACCGTATCTCCACCATCAGCGCGAGCGGGGCACTTGATGAGGCTCTTGACGGGGGACACTATCAAAAAAAACCTCCAATAGGGTCCCGATACACGATACACTCGTACCCTTGAATGTACGGTACTGTCCAGTATCAGTTCCCCCCCACCGAGCCGCCATGGAAAGTGCAATTATCAAGTGCACCTACGTGCACACCTACCTCCATAAAGTCCCCATACCCTTCCTTGCACCCCAAGAACAATACCCGCCAACAACAACAGAAAAACCTCCAGATGACTGTTCCCGAATGTCTCTGGGGGCATGCATGCTAAACATTTATCACAAAATTTTTTTCCTTACCGAATAACAGGGAGAGAGGGATAGCGAAGCGTTTCCAGTGGCCAAGTGGCTAGTACATATTTACCCCTCCCGTATTTCTACCTCCGTAAATGCCAGTATCATCATTCCCGTACCCGAGAATGTACCCGTATACTACAGTGGGGCGCGATGAGAGTAAATTCCAATGACACCGCCTCCTACACACACTTTGTGGTACGGTGCTGCACCGGTACTCGAGTACGGTAGCTTCCATCCAAGCAACCGGACACAATCACGCGGCCGGCCAGGGACCCGGAGCCAATGCCCACGGAGATCATAATTACAAATCTTAGAGCCGGCAGATGGTACACGAGCAAACCATAGGACTATACCATCGCTGCCCAACATATGTATCCCACGATGCCAGATCAAACCTTCCGAATCTTCACCTCCCCCCGCTACGACCCCCTCCTCCTGACCTGTCCCACCAACACCACCTACTCACACGACCCGTCCACTCCCTCCCCATTGTACCTCCTGTCCCACCACCGTGACCGCATGCTCTCCGCCGCAGAGCACTTCAAATGGCCACCATCCATCACAGCCCCCCTCAGTGACCTCTCCCTCCTGCACAAAACCTGCCTCTCAGCAGTGCACTCCAGCGGCGACTCAAACACCGACTTTCGAGTCCGCCTCCTACTCTCCCCGGCCGGCGAACTGACCGCCGAAGCAGCGCCCATACCTCAAGTCACTGACATGGCCCGCTTCTTCCCAACCCATTTGCCAGCGGAGGCTCTCGCCGGATGGACCGTCGTGCTGGATACCCTCCCGACAGAGGTATCCAGCTTCACCAGCTTCAAAACTACCCAGCGGAAGGTGTACGATGATGCCAGGGTCCGAGGCGGGATCGGCTCGTTTGCAGAGACAAAGGAGGTGCTCTTGTGGAATGCGGATGGGGAGGTCATGGAAGGGTCACTAACGAATGTCTTTTTTCAGCGCGGGGGGAGGTGGGTTACCCCGCCGCTTAGTAGCGGCGGGCAGGCAGGCACCGTTAGGAGATATTTGCTGGAGAAGGAGATGGTGGTGGAAGAGGTTGTGAAGATGGAGAAGGTTGTGCTTGGGGAGACTGTCTTGTTAAGTAACGGAGTGAAGGGGGTTTGGGCAGTTAAGGTTGCTCAATAGAGTATATCATATGCAGGGTCCTAGATCATGGGGTGTGCTCGAGTGGGCCGGTTTTTAGCGTTTATATTAAAACTTTCATATAAATTAAATATCATATGTCTAGACTATTGTCTAGGCCTTCGTATGATACACATGTGCCGCTTGCCGCAGATTACAGCCCAACCACTACTCCCTAACTTACGACCTGACACCCCGGTTGACTTACCGTAGATCTCCGAAAGACAGTTCCCGCCACAGATCAAGCACGGTCAACCAATAACACTACTCACTCGTCTTTGCCAAGAATACCTCCACCACCCGATACCGATATTTTGCTGGAGTCCTCACCAAATATCTCGCCCATGGAGATACCCTTGGCAAAGACGAGTGAGTACGGTACTCGTACATTTCCACCAATGGTCCAGATAGACTACCAGTACCGTATCATAAATTCCCAACAGTCACCTCTAATCACTGAACCCTCCCACCGAGCCCAGAACCCACGAACACCGCAACAGCATCGAGTCCCGGTAAAGCCATTCAAATACGACACCATTGGCCGGGAAGTGTACTGTACCATCGAAAAAGCAGAATCACCCCCCACCATAAAACTGGGTTGAGAAAATCAATACAGCCTTTCTGTGCCGTATCACACGGTCCCTTACTAAGCCGCCAGAAAAAAGAAAAAAGAAAAAAGAGTCCGGAGAGGATTGCACCGCGCCGAAGGGCTATTTTACCCTGTCAACCCGTTCGGAGGAGAACATCAGCCAATAATTACAGTACCACGGACGGGGGGAGCTTACGACCGCCAAACCCCTCCCAACCCGCACCGGAGGGTACTTTGCAACCGTTTACAGGGGCACCGAGCAACACCGGTACGATACCGTAACTGTAAAATTCTAGGTAAGTTCGACCCGCAACCACTCTCTATATGGCAGTTACTATCACTAGAAAAGCAGTTGCCACTGGATCACGCCCGAAGAGAACTAGTGGCTGCCTTAGGAAGTACTAGTACAAGTTACTTGTACAGTACAAATATCATAGCGGCGAGTCTAGTTTACCCGGAATTTACGCCACACCGTACGACATCATAATTATTATCATACCAATCATGAAATTGTTCAGTCTTTCTTCTACCTGTATCAATAAGTTACTCGAGTCCAGCATCTCAAGCCTCATGCACGAATAGATTGCAGGAAGCATGGTCACATACTACTCGTAGAGTTAGACTATTGTACGATCACTCCTGAGAACGACCAGCAAAACTTTCCCGGAAGTTTCGAAGGGGGCAAAGAGTTGCCCGATGTGCTTGCACAGTAACCGCAAATTCCTCAAGTAGTGGTACAGTATTCGGAAATGGAGAAAACGATTTCTCCGCCGCTGAGAGGGCTGACCTGGCTTAGTGCACCTTGCAAAACCGCCATACCGGTATTTTTTCCAGAGTGTTCCTGAGAATCAAGGCCTAGTTACGGTATCGTAGTCCGTCCCGTCTACTCGTACCCGGTGATGGATCTTAGGGGCCTGAAACGAGTGGCCAGCCTTTCAAAGACTACAAGTAGGTAGACTAGGTAATGAGACAAAATTCTGAACACAACCTGCCGTACTAGTACAATTTGCTCTCCCACGCAACATTTCTCATGCAACAATTATAGCAATCATTCCCGGAATTTGGTCAAAACTTTGCGACCCTTACTTACCGATATTGTATCGCATACATGGAGAGACCCGAAAAATGTTCGCATACATACAAAAATCACTAACACACCCTGACTAACACACCCTGAGGGCAGTAACATGGGCACGCACAATGCTTTTCATTGGATTGTCAACTGGAGGGAACTGTACCGGTATGATACTGTGTCAATGTCTTTCATGGCTGGATGGCGGATAACGCAGCGTGGGGAAAAAAACTAGTGACCGCTCGTGCTCAGTTTATAATATCAACCCCCCTCTCGGATTCGTTTACTTACTGTAGGTATATATGTACCCATGGATATGGGGGGGGGGGGTTGTGAAATTGTCGTTTCATTGTCCAAGGTATGATATGATACAAGAACATCGTATGGGGGATAAGAGAGGGGGTTTTGTTTCCCCGGACATAAATACCCTAAACTCGAGTGAGAATATGTGATTACCCGTGGGCTATTGGGTGGAGGTCTCGAGGATGGGATTTAGGCCTGGGCGTTGCTACAGTTCGTTTGTATTGCGAGGATATCGTACAGGAAAGAAGACAATCCCTTGATTTATCCTAAGGAAGGCAGAAAGCAACAATCTCAAAATAAGGAGAAGAAGCCGCACCACATCAGAGGAACCAAACAGTGAGTGTGAATCCGCCGCGCACAGGCAAGTAGAGCAACTTTCCACCCCTCCCCCCAAAAAAAACAAAAAAATCATCACAACTTTTCCATAACCGGTATTAATTTCTACCCTGGAAAGCATGTCATCCCATCCCCACCGATTCAGCCCAAGCACCCCATCTCACTCGCTTCCCAAAGCATCCTGCACGAGCACTTCTCGAGCCATAATAAAATGACTTATATGGTGCTCTGCGGCCCCACTGGGGGCGTCAAGTTGCGGATAAGTTAATGAGTATGGTATGGTAGTCACGTCAGCACCCACTCACGAGTGCTCGAGTAGTACCGCACTTTGTCCATCTGACGGCCATGCCTTGTGCGAACTCTCCTCGGTAAATGGATACCCTGGGGGTGTCGTTACCGTCGGAAATCCTAACGCGGGCACGATTCGCGATAGCAAGCTTGAACGAGCACAGTCATGCGAGATGACCCCAGTATTCTTGCGGCTATTTTACCGTTGCAACTTGTGTTGCGTGTGGTGTTGGAGTATTCTGCCGTAATGGTACCGGTATTTACCCGAGTATGGTACTCAGTACGGTATCTGGGAAGGAAAGAGTATTGTGGGGTGGTAAGACCGGATGATTAGTATTTTGTGGGGAGAGTTGTGGGACCAGCATTACTTGTTCAATATATTTATTATCTTGTTTACCGACCCGACTTGTAAGGCATAAAGTTGCAAATGGTCAGTTACATTTTTGGCGGTGCTGGAGCCTGCGGTTGGTTGATGTTGGTTTCTTACCGTTGCTCGTGTTGGGACTCGGACAGTTGATCATTGCAAGACGAGTGCCGTTCCGACACTATTCAGCACAGTAGGGTGGATCTGTTCGCTCCACCTTACTCGCAAAAGGGAGCATCATTGACAGCCTAGCCCGTACATAGAAGCCTTATTCCCCTATCCTTCTGGTAAATGCCAAATATGTATTATGACATTCTGAATAGCGTTGTGGGAATTGCGCAAGTACCACCAACCTCAAGGTTTGGCGGAAAGTGACGTGATTGTAGGAATTTGGGAACTGCAGGATTTTTTTACGGTAGTCTCCAGTATGATATCATGTCTGGGTCGTTAGAGAACCCCCAAGAGCCGCCGAGCTGCCATCAATCCTGACAACTTCTTTCCACATTTCCCCTCGTCATCGTCCAAGAAGGGATTTTTGTACAGATGGGGGTAAGCTAAACGAACGACGTCGTTTAGGTACACGAGTACCGTATGCTTGAGGGTATGATTCGGGTCTTAGGCGGGTGCTATGCGGTACCGCAGGGAGTGGAATAATTGAGAATGACGCTACGACGCCCATACCGGTAATCCCCCCCTGGATGAGGGGAGAGAGAACACAGCGAAAGGGTTGCTTCCAGCCCTCGGTCGAGAGAAGCGAAGAGAGAAATATGGTGTCTGCACCAGACCTTACCAGGAGAGGCAACTCTAACGTCCCAGAGAGATTCTCAATTGCTCCAGTTCTTGTGCGGTATGTACCGTACTGGCACCGGTACGATAGTCTGATTGCTTCAGCCACACCCCTTCCCCGCCAGCCAGCGGGAGTGAGGACTATCTACGATACCTACGGTGCTAGGCGTCTGAAATCGACCCCTCCCACAACCAGGAACCAACAGCGAACCTGCCCTAGCAACAACCAACTGTTTTCGAGGAAAACGCTCGATATAACTGCTCGGAGCTGACTCCTCTTTGATTGTATCGACTTTGTTTTTTTGGTTGAGTCAGTATTGGTTGAGAGCAGCAAGGCGGGTATTTTTTGGGTGAGTGAACACACATACAAATATATGCCAAGGCGCTAAGTTTTGTACTCGCACAAGTACGTATTGCTAAGCAAAGACGGGGGAACATGAGGGTTCGTTTTGGGTGTCCGGCACGATATTCTTGAGTACCCATGTCCTGTTCTACAATACGCTTGCACTACTGTGCTCAAGCACTGTTACGGGTTACGAGTTAACGCTACCGTACTCGTACCTGTACCTTCCCCCAATTTATTCCTTGCAGCACTGCCGCACAAGCACCCCAACACGAGTAACAGCTCCGCCAGCTACCGTACCCTTCTCTCTCCTCCTCCCCCCCTTCGCCGACATCGTGGACCTAATCAACCAACCGACTAATCTCGCTTTATTGCCTTCAACCGGCATACGGATTAAGTAACCTTGACATAGGAGCTAGCATCTAGAGCTTTATTATATTAAGGGCACCTTCAAGATGGCTATGGAACAGGTGGAAGTTCCCAGCAGGGTATGTTTGCGACTCAATCCACCACCCATCCACCGGACGACGTTCCACTTTGGTGAGCTAGCTGGCTTACTTCGGGAGAATCACAGTCGTATTTCATCCGCTGGGTAGAGTGCTCGAAGAATTTTACCATCTCTTGGAGCATAAAACCTCATAAAAAGTCGCTGTGAGTAGCTAGCTACCCCACGTCTACTATCGGGGAATCTGAAACCCCTAATAGCTAACTCTTGGGGATGTAGGAATTTTGGAATCTTTAGGCATCCAACGGCTGGGAATCAATCAGCCTCGCAACTCCAACCCCCCCCCACTGCTAAGTCCGATGACGCGTCTAGTATAAAGCGACCGGGTAGCTCGAGGGCTCGGAGTAATGAAGGGGACTGTATTGAGCGGTTACACGCAGCAGGCTTATTAGATGTGTACTGGCATGGAAAAGTGGAAGCAGAGAAAGTCACAACCGGCACGTACCAGGTGAAAGAAGGTGGTATGTTTGCGCTGGTATGAACTCCCCCATGAGATTTCATTCCGCTCACCCCACCGCTAATTAGCATTCGGGTGTACTCTAGGTTTTCGACAATACCTTCTCCAAGCAAGTCGCAAAAACAGCTACTCTCGTATTGCTTACGTACCCTTCCACTTCTCCGCCTCCGGCTTCGCACGCCCTTCACCACTTCGATTCCGCCCTTGCTTCAACTACATCGCTGGTCCAAAATGGTGGAAAAGGGCCAGGACATGGACCTAGTGCATCTGTTGAAACATTCACAATACATGGGCAAGATGGCACCACTCATGATAAAGAATCCGTCTACTCTGCGCATGGTTTCCACACAGGTGTCCTGAAGAAGCGTAAACGTAAGCGGCATCAGGGCTATGCCCGCCGCTTTTTTTCCTTAGATTTCACCTCTTCAACCCTATCATATTACTTGAATCGGGAGTCCTCGGCACTCCGTGGAGCCATTCCACTATCTTTGGCTGCGATTAGCGCAAGCGGAAAGGAGAGGGAGATTTGTATCGATTCCGGTGCCGAGGTGTGGCATCTCAGAGCAAATTCTGATCGGGATTGGGATCAATGGAAGTCTGCCCTAGAGAAGGCTGCGCAGCATGCGATGGAGGCCGGCACCACCGGTGATCAGCATATGCCTCTACCGGATGTTCAACAGTCGGCTGCTATCAATACCCAAAACCAGGTAATGGAAGACCGGGGCTGGGCGGGGGTTGAGGCTTTGGTTGGGCGTGTTGCCGGTGTTCGGGATGCCGTGAGAAGGCTTGCAACAACTGCCGAGCAGCCCGCACCGCCTAAAATTGGCGAAGCTGATGCTGAGGCGAGCACCCCGTCAACGTCTGTTCATTCATTAACGGAGCAGAAGGATAAGGAGCGTAGAAGACCATTTTGGAAACGTAAGGTGAGTGGCGGAACATCGCCTTCGGTTTCTTCGCAATCTCTGCACCCCATATCTGCAGTTGCTGCTGCCGTGACAGCGGTAGCAGCTCCTGCCCTGCCTAATGGAGTGGCTGGAAATATGCCGCTCCATCAAGGGCAGGGTATGGGTGGGCACCTCAATGCGCTCCTTACGGATCTTGATTCGGTTGTTGCAGACTTCTCCAAACTAGTCGCAGAGAACAAACAGAGGAGGTGGTTGAATCATCGCGTATCCCAACATCAATCTGCATCACCTATAGTGGCTTCTAGAGTTAGCATAGAATCCTCAGCATCAGAAGAATTCTTTGATGCTGAGGACGACATGGTCGAAGGGGAACGAGGTAGAGTTGTGCTTCTGAATGACGACGAGGGCTCCGCACGCGGGGCGTCAAGTTCACAAGGTGTGACAGACGACGAAGAGAGTGATGAAGAAGACGAGGGCTTCGATAATGATCAGCCTCCGCGGTCTGCCGCTAAGTTTGAAGATGAAGATGTCACAGACGCGAATGGGGTGAGGGACTTGAGTCCTTTGCCTTTGGAACCTATAGAGCGACGTGCTCTGGTACCTGCTGCTACCGTGATGCCCCCTAGTTTGATTGGGTTCTTGAGGAAAAACGTAAGCACGAGATGTCACTCATGCTCAATTTGTTAGCTGACTCCCCGATCTAGGTCGGAAAAGATCTTTCAACTATTGCAATGCCAGTATCTGCGAATGAGCCAACAAGTCTTTTGCAGAGACTTTCCGAGCAGTTGGAATATTCCGAGTTACTGGATGAAGGCGTCAATGCTTCTGTAGCGAATGGGGGACGGCTGCTTTATGTTGCTGCATTCGCTACTAGTTCATTCTCGAATAGCAGGGTAAAAGAGAGATCTATCCGTAAGCCATTTAATCCGATGCTGGGTGAAACGTATGAGTTGGTTAGAGAGGATAAGGGTAAGAATACTTCTGACCGAACTAGATTTGATATTCAGGCATTCTGACATCTTCTAGGGTTCCGTTTCATTGCCGAGAAGGTATCGCATCGACCAGTCATCATGGCTTGTCAAGCAGAATCCCAAAATTGGACATTTACTCAATCTCCCATGCCGACGCAGAAGTTCTGGGGCAAATCCGCAGAACTTAACACCTCAGGCCGAGTCCGAATCCACTTCCCATCGACCGGTGATTCCTTTTCCTGGACAATCGCAACCAGCTTTCTCCGCAACATCATCGCTGGGGAAAAGTACGTAGAGCCTGTAGGATCCATGACAATCCATCACGAAAACACGGGCGAGAAAGCTATAGTAACCTTCAAAGCCAACAAAGGCATGTTCGCTGGGCGCAGCGAGGAAGTAACAATCCAAGCATTCGATTCCTCCGGCAACCCCTACCCAGTGAGCCTTTCTGGAAAATGGACAGAGAAACTCATGCTCGAGGGCGTCGGCTCCCCGAAGAAATTCTGGGAAGTGAAAGAGCTGGTAGAAAACGCACAGACAAGATACGGCTTCACCAAGTTCGCGGCGGCGCTCAACGAGATCACACCCATCGAGCAAGGCAAGATCCCCACCACAGACACCAGACACCGGCCCGACCAGCGCATGGTGGAAGAGGGCCGCCTGGACGAGGCGGAGGCCATGAAGATGAGGCTCGAAGAGGCCCAGCGAGTACGACGCAAGGAGATGGAAGATAACGGAGAAGCCTGGCAACCCAAATGGTTCGTCAAGGTGCGGGAATACGCCGACGAGGAGATTTGGAAGATCAAGACGGGCAAGGAAGGGTACTGGGAGCGGAGAAGCAAAGGCGAGTGGAAGGGTGTGCCTGTCATCTTTGAGGAGTAGAGAGAAAAGAAAAAGCAAAACGAAAAGCGGAAGCATGGATATGGGTAGATGGATATATATCCGTAGAGAGAGAGTGTGTGCCTCGATTGAGAAAGTCAAAACCGAGTGGTATATATACACTGGCTGGTGTTTGTTTGTCTTATTTACCTTGTTTTACTCTCTTCTCTCTTTTTTTTTTTTTCTTTCTCCTTTTCCTTTCTAGTTTTAGTCTTGATTTGGAGCGAGGTTATTATGATAGATGGGGGAAGGATTGGGATAAAACGAGATCCTGTTTGAGTATTTATTTTGTTGTAGTCGGTCGAGTAAAAAATAGTACCGGTACTGTGTTTCGCGAATGTCGCGATTATTGCGATGCTTTCTCCTGCTGTGTGATACTAGTAAATTTGTCATTTTTTTTGTTTTTGCGATGGTAATAGTACGAGTACGAGTGCAGTACGATTTAGTAGTGGTCTCACGCGCAATCACTCGATTGACACGGCTGACGTTCATTACTGTACTGTGCCCGCGGTAAGTTTAGGTCTTTACGTACCCTACCGTAGACCCTCCCCACCCCCACCTGATCGGTGCGCGTTGCGGGCGGGGTAATAGCACAATAGTATTAAGTATTATTTTATAACAACGCAGGAACATGTCTCATAGGGAATCACTCGCGATCGACACAATTTCCCCCGTGTTTCGGGATGAGCGGCACATTTCCTTGTGAACCGTTGGTGGTTTTTGAGTTAGTTTCTTTTTCGTTGTTGGTTGGTTGGTTGGGGTTGAGCTGTTCAATTGTGAATTGAATTGGTTTGGTGGTGGTGTCGGCGGCGGTGATCAAATGAGATTGCATTAAGTTAAGTTGATTGTGCTGTATCATAATAACAAGGAAGGGGGGGTGGAGGCGCTTAGTAGAGAGATGGATGGATGGATGCTGAGGCCGGAGTTGGGTGGATTTTCTTCTTCTTTTCTTTTCTTCTTTTCTTTTCAGCTGTTCAGGTTCGAATTTTTTATTTTTTTTGTTTGCCCCTCATTTAGCGCGTAACCTATCCTCTGTGCTTGTACGAGTACTCGTACTGTACTCGTATCATACCCATACAGATGATAAGGTCTCAACGTTTTTTTTTTTCGTTTCTTTCTAGACATCTTGGTGATGTTGATGTTGTGCATCGTAAATCAATTTCTTGAGGAGGAATGAGATTGAAGTGAGGAAGACTTTTCGCTCTTCCTTCCTTATCATCATAACCGCAGTCTATGTTTTGTTGAAGCTTTTACCGTGGTGTGTGGTGACCCCTCCTTTAACTTACTCTAGCCTCTTGCCCCTCGCCTGAGGAAGAGCTCCACCAACCCCGCCATCTATCCATCCATCATCCATCCTTCCATCGAGAGAGTTAGGGAAAATCCAGCCCGCTCACCTACCGTAATTTACTGTGAAACCTTAACATCAATCTCCTCCCCTCAACCCCCCCCCTTCCTCTTCCCTTAGAATTGAAAGGCTTTATTTCTCTATAGTATCATACGGTATCACATCTTTCCAGAGCGGATCTTCCCTGGACTGTAGCTGTACCGGTATCATACAAGTATCTACCAGTGAGCTACCTTACTGCTAATTGCTGCCATCACTTGAGTTCCCATACCAATACCTTTGCTTTTGTGATCTTCCCCATCTCCTTCTTCCTCCTCTCTTCTCCCCCTCTTCACCCGCCTATCTACCTGTCTTCGTCTCTGCACTGCATCTCCGTCCGTCAGTTGGTACTTACATCAACCCCACCTTTGAAACCTCCTCTTCCTCTCTCCTCCTGCTCCCAATCACCACCACTTCTACCGGCAGCTTCGCTTTCGTTCTTTATTCCTTACTTCATCCATCGTTACCATCATCATGGACGGATCTCCCCCTGGGCGCAAGGTCTTCAAGGTCTTCAACCAGGATTTCATTGTTGACGAGCGCTACACGGTTACGAAGGAGCTCGGACAGGGAGCTTATGGGATTGTTTGGTAGAATAATGTTCCCTTCCAGGAAGAAGAATAATAAAACATTCTGCATGGGTGGATGGATGGAAAACTGATGCCTTTATTGTTGTTAGTGCGGCTACGAATGCTGTGAGCCTGGAGGGCGTCGCAGTTAAGAAGGTTACCAATGTTTTTTCCAAAAAGATTTTGGCCAAGAGGGCTTTGAGGGAGATCAAGCTGCTTCAACATTTTAGAGGTATGTTGGTTGGTTGATGTTCTGGCTTTATGCTTTCTATCCATCTCATCTCATCTCTTCCCTGGCTGGCTGCTTGCTCCCGTGTAGGGGATTTCGTTATCTCTTAAAAGATAAAGGTTTCAAAGGCTAATTTTATGGGCGATGAACTGTAGGTCATCGGAATGTTCGTTTCTCATCCCCCAATATGCTGTTAAACATCGTTCTCTTGCTTTGTGTGAGGAGGATGTATTTTGGGCGGAATGTATAGTTACTTACTTGTGGACCGCCCTACGTTTCCACAGATCACTTGTCTCTATGATATGGATATCCCAAAACCAGATGCTTTCAATGAGGTTTATCTTTACGAAGGTGAGATTAGGGGGGAATCCTCGGTCTCTTGTGTGACTGGTCCTAGATTGCTGACTTGATAAATTTCCTTTTTTTTAGAGCTCATGGAATGTGATCTTGCTGCCATCATCCGAAGGTTTGTTGTCTCTCTGTCCCCTAAAATGTAGAACGGCTAAATTAATGCGAATTCTAGTGGACAACCCTTGACAGATGCTCATTTCCAGTCATTCATCTACCAGATTCTCTGCGGTTTGAAGTATATCCATTCAGCGAACGTGCTCCACAGGGATTTGAAACCCGGTAATCTTCTTGTTAATGCCGACTGCGAGCTTAAAATTTGTGATTTTGGCCTTGCTAGAGGGTTTTCCGTTGACCCGGAGGAGAATGCTGGATACATGACCGAGTACGTAGCTACTCGGTGGTACAGAGCTCCAGAGATCATGTTGAGCTTCCAGAGTTACACCAAAGCTAGTGAGTTACCAATACCCGAGGGGTGGAGGTGGTCGGTGGACCATTCCTCTCCCCCCCCCACATGCGTGGAGCAGGGAACTCAGAACGCTAATGGTTCAATCACTTTGCCCAGTCGATGTATGGTCCGTTGGATGCATTCTAGCAGAACTCCTCGGTGGCCGACCCTTCTTTAAGGGCAGAGACTATGTCGACCAACTCAATCAGATTCTCCACTACCTCGGGACCCCCAATGAAGAAACCCTCAACCGCATCGGATCCCCCAGAGCCCAGGAATACGTCCGCAATCTCCCCTTCATGCCCAAAGTCCCATTCGGGCGCCTATTCCCGAATGCGAACCCAGATGCACTAGACCTCTTAAACCAGATGCTAGCCTTCGACCCAACATCCCGGGTCTCTGTAGAAACTGCGCTAGAACACAGCTACCTGCAGATCTGGCATGATGCTCAAGATGAACCGGACTGTCCGACCCCCTTCGACTTCAGCTTCGAAGTGGTTGACGAGATCAGTGATATGCGAAAGATGATTCTGAACGAGGTCCAAGTCTTCCGCGCTGCCGTCAGGAACAGGCGCGTCCAACACGCCGCCCTCGACATTGCTGCGCTCGGGCGAAAAGACAGTAGTGTAGGTATTCCGGATCACCAATGGGCACAGCAGCAGAGGAACGACGCCCCAAGGCCGCACGACGCCCCCAGACCGCACGACCACCAGATGCATGAGGCGAACTTGGAACAGGAGTTGGCAGGGGGATTGGATGTTATGCATCAGTGAGCCAGTTTTTTCTTTTTTGTTTGAACATGTGTGTGTGTAGAGGGGGGGTGTTTTGCTGCTGGCGCTGGTTGATATACCCGTTCGTTAGCTGGTTAGCTGGTTGGTTCTACATTATACACTGGGATTGCTAGTTTCTGCTCTGTTTTGTTTTGTTTTGCTGTACTCTGTTTGATGTGAAGTGGGTTTATCTGTAGAATCTGAATGGGTAGATGGATGGATAGTTGGTTGGTGCGGTAAACTTAAACTCCCTTTGACTCTCTATATACCCACCTATCGGTGCCCGCGTGCGGAGGGTGATGGATTTTGTCTCAAGCGCTTTCCTCTTCTACTTTGCCTTGCCTTTGCCCGTGTCGTCCGGCCCCTCCGTCGTCCTCGATCATCCAAGTAGAGTTGGGAGACCATTTTTCTCGGATCATATCATACATACGGCACGGGAAATGAGTGTTTACTAGGGGCTGTTACTCTCTTTTCACTTTTCTCTCTGTTTCTCCTCCGTGACGCTTGCCCTTGGCACAATACAGCGGTCCATGGACTTTCCCCTCCTATTTCCCCCGTCCTCGTAGAAGCATTTCCTTCCTTCCTTTCCCTACCCAAATTCACGCACCACGGGTAAACCGGGATATCAGGGGCGATGTGTGAGAACAGGGCCATCCCTCCGGTGCCCACCACCACAACCGAAACTGAAGCATTGATCGAACGTTGAGGTTCAAGGGGTAGGTAAATCATGATCCTTTACTCGAGTACTGTACCAGCATAGTATTCCAAGGGGGGGATGTTATGTAGTGGGGTCTAGGGTATTTATTTTGCGATGATGAACGAGTAGATCTTAGATTCTGGTTTTTTTTTCTTTTTTTAGTGATGATCAGAGGGAGGGGCTAACTATGCTGTTGGCATTATACTAAGTATTTAGGTCCTGAACTCCTGAGTGAGTGAGTGTTTATGAGTATATCTTGGCGTACGTCACCGTCAGGGAATTCGGTAGGGGTAAATTACCGGCACTTGCTAGGGATAGGCAAACGTGTAAACACCATTTTTGTATCATGGGGATAGAGTATCGGTATGTTCCCACACCCACACACAACTCCAGCACAGTAGATCACCGTGCCCGTAGGTATCATATCATAGTCCAAAGCTCCTCACCAACTCCCCAATCGTCAATAATGCCACCTCCACCACCACAAACCACAAACCCAGATGCAGACGCAGACGCAGAAGCAATACTAACCACCTACCTGGAAAGTCTACCCCAAAGCACAAACCCCACAACACCGGAAGACCAAGCCCTCCTTCGGTCCTTCCTGAAGAGACTCCTCTGCGAAAACTGCCCAGACACACCGGTATCAATACCCACCCTGCTAACGACCTCGCTTCCAACAACCTACCACGTCGGCACCGGCAGGACACAAACCCAAGCTCTGACCCGGGCGATCAAGCGCGCGAGGCACGAGGTAATATTCGTGACGTGCTTCTGGGCGACCAGCGAGTCGCTGGCCATCCTCGGCCACGCGCTGCGGGAGCTGTCCGCCAGCGCGGTATCGAGGGGGGGTAAGGTCCGCGTGCGGATATGCTTCAGTTCCATGTCGGCGTGGCAGAAGGTGAGGCAGGCGCTCTCCCCCGGCGGGAGGAGGATGACGTGGGACGTGTCGGAGCTGGGGCTGCCGGGGAGCGGGGAGCTGGCGGGGTTGGACATCCTCGTCCGGAGCCTGTTCTTCCCGCCCTTCTCCGTAATGCATGGGAAGTATTGCGTTGTCGACCGGAGGCGGGCTTGGATCGGCAGCGGGAATGTCAGCTGGGAGTGCTGGGGGGAGGGTTGTGGGGGGTTCGAGGGAGCGGGGTTTGTCCGCTCGGTTCTGGCATATTATCGGGCTGTTTGGGGGGATCATGAGGTGGCGTCTTTACCGGGTTGGGGGGAAGACGTGGTAGAGGTGGAAGAGGAGGAGGAAAACCTGGACGTCCTGGAAGAGGTAATGGAGTGCCCCACCATCCTTCTCCCAAACCCTCACCATTCCAATCCGAACTTCTCCTTCGGATCCTCCATAAAATCGTTAATATCCCTCATCCTCCCCTGCCCGCCAACCCACCAACTCCTCCTAACGCCACCACCACAAGCGCCGCCAAACACCCCGCAAAACGCCTTCCTCCTAACCCTCCTCTCCCTCGCCAAAACCTCGATCACGGTCCACACCCCAAACCTGACGTGCCAGCCCCTCCTCTCGTCCCTCCTCTCCGCCGCTTCTAGGGGCGTGCACGTCACGATAATAACCTGCCGGAACATGATGCGTCTGGAGCAGCTCGTCACGACGCCCTTCTCCACCACGGAATCCTGCGTGAGGGCCTTCGTCTCCTCGCTCCTGGACGTCGAGAGCGGCGGCGGGAACGTGGACTTGGGGTATTGGCGTGGGTGTGGAGATGTCAAGCAGTGGCATGTCAAGGCTTTGGTAGTGGACGACGCTTGGACTGTTATCGGCAGTGCGAACGGTGATCGCGCGAGTTGGTGGGGGTCCGGGGAGATCAATGTTTGTGTTTTTGGGCGGGCGTATGCGAGGGATGTTGGTGGGAGGTTAGAGGGGTGGGCTGTGGAGGCAGGTGGTGTGGAGTGGGTTCATGGCGGCAGGGAGTTGGGAGGTTGAATCTGATCATAAGGGCTCACTCGGTTGTTATTGATAGACGGACTAGAGTTGAACAGGGCCCTTCATACACGCTACGACTAGTGCGATGCGTTTTGGGTGTGGGCGTTTGAAGGTAAAATGGAATACCCATCTATACAGTACATGTCCGGAGGTGTCGGTTGCCTGCCTTTCCTGTTGTTTCTGTAGTGCTGCCAGTGTATAGCTCTTTCAGCACCCAGATTTTTACAAGAGGCCTCTGTGAGCAAGAGGCGGGATTCTTTAACAGCTAGATCATTGAAAGATTAGGGTAATCCTAAGATTTACACATGTAAATGAGAACGTTCCGGAAGCAAGAATTAGGGACAGTCTTGGTATATCTCGGCGGAATGCTAACGTACTTGTATCATACTTGCCCATTCCAAAAGTAAATTTATCCGGAAATCTTTGTCGTAGTTCTATGTGGTAGGGGAAACCTTAAACTAGTGCCATTTAGCGCCATTTTTGGGTCCTGCACACCTCACTCCAATCCCCTCGGGAAATGGCTCACCCAAAAGTTAATACATTTTTCTATACACCTGACACCAGATTCCCTACTTGCTAGTACATAGCTAACTTTTTTTTTTTTTTTGTTAAATAGGCTAGGACCTCCTATAAAGTTCCTTCAACTTTACAATATAAAAAAAGACAATATAGTATTGGCATGTCCTCTCTACTCGCAGCTGCACAAAACAAATATTTAGCTGTATGTGAATATCACAAACAGAGGAAGTTCTTTACTAATTAACATTGATATTTTAACTGACAGGCTATCTAAAGTTATTCTGAAAGCCATTAGAGAAGAACTTGAACTATTAGATGAATGGTCCAACCACTGGTAGATTTTCCAGCAATTGATGGTCACAAGTTATCCAGAATAATATACAAGGGATCCAGAACAGAGCTGCCTTAGTTGCCAACATACCTGCAGTATAGTTGGTCACAATGTACTACAACAACTGATCAAGGTAAACTACTTGTAAATAGTAACTCTTCTTGACCAGATACAAGTCAAAATTGGGCGGGTTCAGAATGAGTGAGTATGTTTTTTACTACTCTCTATTTGTCTAACTAATGTAACTTTTATAGTAATATCTAGACAGTAATTCCTGCAGATGAGCTTACATAATTTTGCAGTATGGTTACTTCTTTACTATCCGGTAAGTAATAGAATACCTCAAAGTTCTTTGACATCAGGATTGTCAACCTGTGATGATATTTTTCAAATAACTGGTAAGATTCCTTTCTTTATTATTGCCTCTAAACCTTATTAATGTTTTACAATTAATTAATAGGAAATCAATATTGGGCTATTGTGGACCTACTTGGATTCCTAGAATTACTTACAGCTCCAACTGTTTGTTGCAAAGCATAGGAGGTAGCTTGCTGGACTACTTGGAAACTCAGGCTTGAGATCAAAGATAGCTTAGAAGTCCGAAGAGGAGCTTTTTTATATATCTTGTTAGTATTTCGTACAGTACTTTTAGGCCTTCCCAAAAGGTTGGTTTTGATATTATTGCTCGGGAAATAATCTAATTTGTTATACCATCGCATCATATTACTATTTCTTATTCGAAGACCCTTTCAAGTTTCTCCGGTCTTGAAGGCCTTCTCCACACTCCCCAACACCAACATGAAAAGACACACTCTCTTTCTCACAAACTTGTACATATATTAGTAAGTTAGAGTGAGTGAGGAACTTGGAACAGAAAGCTTGTTGTGTCGGTGGATGTAACATATGATTACCAGTATTGCTGGCTCGGATGTTCTTTACTACAAGTACCATGGAGTAATCAAACTAGCAGGAACTGGTTGAATAAAAGAGGGATTCTGTTGAAGGAGAAGGTGGGGTTCAGGTGACACCCCGTGATCAACCTTTCTCCAGATAACACATACTCGAGCACTCGAGTTCAGTTCCGATGAACAGACATGTTTTGCTGTTTTTTCTATACAACAGAATGAAGCGGGGAATCACCTCTGTATACCCAGAGGCACCCCCCCCTTTTTTTGACTTGGACTACTGGTAGTTTTTGCGCCCATTATATTATGCCTACCTATAATCTGATATGCATCGATCCATACCTTAAAACCCCATCGCTACCAACACCCTATAGGGGAACTGGGAAATTTAAGTAGGAAGAGGAAATATCCGTTTTTTATTGTTTCATATCAAACCGACTATTTAACCCCTCCATCCACCCTTCCGAAAAGATCAAGAACCCCTTTATTGAAGAAAAACGAGAGAGGCAGAGAGAGGGAAGAGAAAAAAGAAAGGAAGACACAGGAAAACATCAATTACATCGCCCTACTCATAACCCCCCATGCCCTAATCAAATTATCCGTGTACCCAGCAAACAGTGTCTGTCCGTCAGCGCTCCAAGCCAGCGATACACACTCAGGCTCACGTCTCTTCTTGCCGATAGGAATGAAATCAGGCCTGAGCTCATCAACCTTGCTCTTCTTCTCAAGGTCGAAGATGATGATGGATGTGGCGGTAGCAGCGCAGAGCCAATACCTGTTTGGCGAGAAGACGAGGGCGTGTATCTCATTACCGGCATTAAGGCTGTAAAGGTGCTTAGACTCGTTAAGGTCCCAGAGCATGGTGGTGCCGTCCTTGCCGCCAGAGGCACAGAGGGAGCCGTCAGGGGAGATAGTGACAGTGTTGATATATCCAGTGTGTCCGGTATGATCGGTTTGAATGCGGCAAGACGCCAGCTCCCAGACCTTTTTATATTGTCAGTCGCCTATTTGAAAACCAAGGTTGGAAAGGCTATGGGTGCAAAGAATATCATGGGAAAGAGTGTCATCAGTGCGCCGGTGATTGTTTGTCTCATAGACTTTAGATGGAAGTCTCTGAAGTAGCAAATACTTTAGGTTGCTTATAAGGATTAAGGGCGTCTTCGCATGGTGCCGC